TCCCCGTGGCTCTGGGTTTGCAAAGCCACATCAGTCATTTGGGGAAGGATCTCCAAGGGCTAAATTTCACCATGAAAAATGTTCTGGTGTTCATCCAAAACCAAAACAAATCGGTCTCACTTGAGCCAGGACACCTCACCCTTGAATTCCCTCCAGGCAAGATCAGCAGCAGAGAGAACAGTGTCAGCCTTTATAAATGTCACAGAACAGGCCCAAAATTGCTTCTGCCTTCACTGATTAGAAGGGAGGAGAGGCTGTTGTGCTCATCTGCCTTGGCCTCCCGTGTTACACACACCCAGGGAGCTCACCAGGATTTATTCCAGGTAGAAACTGTCAGGAATCAACCCTTTGGGACTCCAAAAAGCACATTTTTCCAAGCTGCTTTCCTTTGGAAAAGACTGTTTTATTCATACCAGTTCAGCATTCTTTTTGTATCTCCCTGGGGAGGCTCAAAATCCAGCATTTAATGCTGATGGGAGAGAGGGGAAAGAGTCAGGATTTTTAATCATGCCTTGGCTAAAGAGCACAAAAAAAGAGCTACTAAAACACCTGTGGCTTTGGGATATTCCCTGCAGCTGGAGGTTACAGGGCTGTAATTAGAGTGGTACAGCTGATAAGGAAACCTGCAATATGTCTGGGAATCAGGAATAGATCAGGAACAAATCAAGGTGGATCTCCATGATGGGATGGGATAATCCACAGCCAGACACTGGAGAAGAACCCAGGAAGGGGAAAAAAACACAAACAAGAAAATAAAACAAACAAACAAAAAACCCCAAACAGGTTCTTTAGTGCTGAGCAAAGAGGAACAGGCAGGAACTGATGCCCAGGAAGTTGCACCTGAACTTGAGGAAGAATTTCCCTGTGCAGTGAGCAAGCCCTGAACAGATTGTCCAGAGGTGGAACCAGAAGATCTCAGTGGTCCCTTCCACCTTTCCCATCCTGTGAAATCCTTCCTGCTGCTCTGCAGGTTTTCTCTGCTGGCCTGCAGCCCCTCTCCATGTTTCTCTTGCTGGCACTGGCATCAAACTAGGAGGAGTGGGATGGATTAAAGGTCCTCTTGCCCAGAAAATTTAGATTAGAGGCCTCTCATTATGTTAAAAATATGTGCATGTGTTTAAATGAAAACCAAAACCAAACTGTGCAGAGTATTTTTATTATTATTATTATTATTGAGTCATAAACCAACAAAAATTACCTTTCTTATAAATGAACATGACTCATCCAGGCATCTTTGTCGAAGTGGTGGATTTCTTTCCAGTAATTTAATAGCTGAAAGAGCTTATCATGAAAACAACAAGCCACCATCATTAATATTCACGCAGAGAAACCAGAGAGGTTTTACAAAATCCACTTGCATTTGACATTTCTCCCGGCTCCAAACAGTGAGTACACATTCCATGGGACTGTTTGTTCCTGGAAAATGCAGCCCCAGCTCAACTCCATATATCACTTTGTCTAGAACAAACATTTTGTACTTACAAACAGCATCTTAATTGACTAAATGAAAAAAGCAGAACATTTGTTCCACATAACTAATGGGGACATATTTCCTTTGTCTCCTGCCACATTTGATGCCTGGAGAGGCTCCTGGAGCAGAGGCTGGGCAGGGTTAAAGGAATAAAGCCGGGATTTATTAAAAGCCCTTCCAAGGATGCACCTTGGGCACTGCAAGAGCCCGGCCGTGGCTGCAGCCAGGATGGGCCCTGGCTCAGGAGTTTCACCCTTGGATCAGTTCTGGTCCATTTCCAGTTTGGGCTGAATTGTGCAATTGCAGCTGCAGGTGATGCAGTCCCATCCTCCCAGGTTGCTCTCCTCAATTCCCTGCTGGTTGCACTTTTTGGGCCTGGAGCTGCAGCGGTGTCCTTGGCTGTGGGGCTGGAGAAGGATTCTTGTGTGTGCCTGAGCTGTGAGGAGACCTTGCTGACACTTTGTGTGGAGATCAGAGTTAGGAACCAGTGCAGAACCTGGAGAATGTCACAGCTGAAACTGAGGACAGCACATTGCCAAGTACATACATTAGGATAATAAAAAATACTTGAGCATATCAATAAATTCCATGGGCCAGAACTCGTGGTTACAGTTTTCATGCCTGGATTTCTGTGCAGGCCCAATGAAATCTGACATTTTTCTGCTGTGAAGAGCAGAATCCGTGTCCAGACAGACACATGCTGGGAATGAGAGCTCTGTCACCTGGCTCGTGGGACTCTCCAAACTGAGGGATGATTTAATGCATCTTTGGCTTCCTGCATAAACCCTTAACATTTTTGTCATGCAAACCACAGCATGAAGCAGATTTCTGTATTAATGCTCCAAATCTCTTTAATGCCCTAAGCGAGTTTATGAAAATTTTCTTTAATTCAAAAGTTTTCAGAGGCTGTGAATGAGTTTCCAATGATGAGGGAGAAATAATTTCTTTTCTCACTATACCAGAATCCATAAGTAGCTCCTATTTACTCACATCTCCCAGCAGAAGTCAAGGATATTTGAATTGGGTTTTTTGAGGAATTAACAAAAGAAAAATTTAATTCAAGTTCAACAGGCTGGAAATTAATTTTAGATTTCCCATACAAACACGTTCACTCCCAAAGATGCCATCCTCAGGCCTGACCTGGCTTTTTTGCACCAAAATGATCAAGGGTGGAAGCATTTACACTGTGCACTTTAAAAGTGAAAATCAGTGGTGCAGGGAAGCCCCAGGCAGTCAGAACATGAACCAAATGGTGCTGCTCCAAACAGGCTCTGGCAGTGGGAGAATCCTCATCCTGCAGGGTAAGCACACAGCTGAGCCCCACAGGAACAACTCCTGTGACTGAGAGGTCCCTCAAATTTAGTTTAAAATTATTCAGTGACAAAATAAAGAGCTTCTCCACGGTCCCAGTTACAGAATTGTTTTGTTTTCAAACAAAGAACTACACTAAAATTGGGGCAGCACTGCCCAGAGGAGCCAAACCAGCACCACTGAGGGATGTGTCCTTGGGACAGCCTCTGGCAGAGCAACTGGAGATGGTTCAACAGAGCCAGACAGGAACCAGGCTGGACAGAACCTCTTCTCTCCTCCCTGACACCTTGCACCTTGTTTTTGTCCCTGCCACACCCCCAATGACATAATTACACAGATTAATTATGTCAGACTGACACAGAACCCTCTTTTTCCAGACACTCTCATCTCACTTTTTTACACACTCTCCAGCCACTTTCTCCCCCTCTCTGCTGTGTCAAACATTCACATAATTTATTAATCCATTCAAAGTAAATCCTCCAAGAGCCTGTTCCTGTGTTTATGTTGAAGCAGCAGAGCTGCTGACTCCACAGAGGACCACAGTGTCCAACCCAGCAGTTATTTTGGCAGTGTGAACAGCCCCACGTGATGTATCCAGCACCACAGCAAAAGCTCCAGCAGCTTTTTCTGATCTTTTTGGAGTGGAACAGGAGGTGTTTTTCTTAAGTGCAAAGCATTTAATATTGCAGCAGCCGCTAAACTCATTAAGCCAGCCCAGACAATGATCACATCATTACCATAATTCCATTTAAAGCACTTGCCTCTTCTAAGAGGACCCACACAACACAATCATTACAACATTTTTCTGGCAGTTGGCATCCTTGTTTGTTGAGGGAGGGAGAAGTGAATTGAAACATCCTCATTCTTCTTTCATTAAGAGCTCAGTTAGGAAATAAAAGATGAGTTGATGTCACCACAATATTCCAATTTCCCAGTTTTTCCACTGAAGACCACAGAAACATCACTGGGCTTCAAAAGATGAGCAAATGGAGCTCCTGGTTTGTGATCCATCACCAATATGAACTTTACTAAGCACTTCTGTCCTGTTCAGAATAAATTTCTTATGACCAGAGGGTGTTATGCAAAGGCAATAACAGAATACTCAAATGGTTTTTATACAATGCAAATGCAGCACCTGAGAATTCCTCACCACATCTCACTGCATGCCTGCAGGAAGGCACAAAGGAGCAGCAAGGAGAGGAAATGTGTTGTGAAAATCCAATTTTAGGGCCCTGAGCAGAAGGGGCAGGAGGCCACCCCTGACTGCTGCTGCCCACCCAGCCCCTGCAGGGAGGAAATTGCTGCACAGGTGATGAGAGACAGATCTTTTGTGACAGTCTGACAGCAGGGAAAAGCCACCCAGATGCTAAAATGCCTCTCTGGCTGCTGGTCAGATATCCAGCATCAGCTGGAATGAACCTCACAGACATTTCTGAGCTAAAAAAGACACTAAGTAGTTCTTTTTCCAGGAAGAACTGTGTGCTCTCACATTTCGAGGCTGCCAGAGGAAGGATACAGATGGGTAACTCCATGGCAGTGGGAAAATGGGTTCCAAAAAACCCTGCCTTGCCCAGCCATTCACTGTTTCCTGCAATTCATCCAGTGAAAGCACAAGGCAGCAGGTTTTAAACAAAGGAAGTGCAAATATTTTCTACCAAACTTGTGGAATTAAACTGGGGAAGGGTCTGCCCTGGCACGAGGAGGTCAAAGCCAGTGAGGAGCCACCAGTGCCCAAAGCCACATCTGCCCCTCTCTGATGCTCCCTGTTTCAGCTGATTTTTTACACTTGATGGATACAAGAGAAGTATCAGCTTGCCATGATTTTTTCAAGATCCTACAGCAGCAGGAAAAAACATGGACTTTATGAATAAAAGATCTCCCAATTTTCAATCTTCTGGACTGATTTCACGCTAGTGATTTTTTTCTTTCCTCTCATACAAGAGTCAGAGCAGGAATTGAAGGCTACAGGTAGAGATAACACAGCTCAAATCAGCTCTCATCAGTGACAGAGGAAAAGCTGGCACTGTCCTGTGAATCTCTGTAGTGCAGATCCTTAGAGCTGTAGGGAAGCACGAGGGCAGATGGTTTGCAGTGTCACCAGGGGCTGGAGCAAGTCTTCATCACCTGTACATGGTTACATTTCTCTGTTTCAAATTCAGACACAGGAGATCCAAAAAGTGGAAGAAATGTAATTATTGGCCCGGGCAAGCACTGGGAGCAGCATGAGTGAAGGGCTAAGGAAGAAATGCAGTCTCCTAAATTCAAGAGAAAGTAAAAAAAAATTAAAATTATCTATAATGTTAGAGGAAATGAGTATTTCAAATATTGTCAAAGGTTATAAATCACAGAACCACAGAACAGTTTGGGTTGGAAGGGACACCTTTCACTAGACCAGGTTGTTCCAAGCCCCACCCAGCCTGAGCCCTTCCAGGGATGGGGTTTTCCTTTTGCACTGGACTTGCAGCTGCTGGGTCAGGGTTCTCCTTATTCCACACCAGAGAATCCAAAGGTGACTGAATCCCTTTTATGCTGCAGCAAACTCCTCCTGAAGTTTTCCCACAGCTGGGGGAATTTGTAACACCTCCAACCTTTGCAGATACCTGCAAGACTCCTGAAATCCTGGACTCTTTCCCCTCCACAGATCCCATAACTGGGTTTTCCTCAACTGCTGTTTGTATTTACAAACCTTGAATTGTGGAAATCTTTGTTTGCTTAAGCTGAATTTGGCCAAGGCACTCAAAATTAACCAGGGAAACTGTCAGAAGGGCTGATATGTGCAGAGCAAATGACCATAAGGAGTTAATTTTCTTATGGAAAAGGACTAAAATGTACCATTTTTCTGGCCATTGTGAGAACATCTTATTTCAAGGAAGAGAATTAATGGTCAGAACACTTTGATACTGTACATTCTTGTTCTTTTTCTTCTGGGCTGCAAGCCTGGATAGCTTCAGACAGAGAAAGTGAAAATTGTGGCAACAAGTCATCTGTCCTGGGTGTGCTGCTTCCTGCCCGTGCCAGGAGCTGGGAGCCTCTGCTGCCAGAGGAAATTCTTTTATAATTTCTTATTTATTTATTTTAAATTCTTTTTTTTAATGAATCAGAATCTCTGAGCTCCTTCCAGAACACACAAATTTCTATTTCGCAACACTTCTCACTGGAAAGTCTTTCCCCTGCCATCCCTCCATTCCAGCTGTAAATTTAATTTTGTATTTAGTCATAGTGGGCCTGTCAGCAACAGTGAAACTCAGGCTGTGCTGGATCATCTGCAAACTTAAAAGAACAAAAAAAATAAAAATTGTTGATACCTCTCCATACCCTCTAGTAAGATATTTTTATGCTAAAACATCACAAGAACAAAAATGACACTGAAAGCAGCTCAGGCACCAGGGAAACTTGGAGCTTTGCTGCCTCATTATGATTAAATGAACATTTATACAGCAGCCATGATATGCACCAGTGTCAGCAGCAACAGGGGGAGTTAAGGGGAATCAAGACGTGCTAAAAAAATAAATAAATGATGTTGTCTTGGATGAGGAATTTGCAAAAGGGGTTGAGGGCACTTTACAGGTGCATCCCCACACCTCAGTGCTCCTGTTTGGGTCTGTCCTACCCTAAACCAGGCTCCTTGGGCTTCACCCAGAGCCTGAGCCATGAGAAAAGCACCACAACAGCAGACAGGGAATCTGGAGTTTCTGCAGAAAGGGATGGAGCATTTCTCCTCCAGTCCTGGAGAGAATTTTAATAGAGGAGCCAAGTGCTGAGCCAGGTAACTCCTGCTGGCTCCCCTGCAAGAGCCTTCCAGGATGGATCCATTTTTAAAAGATGTTTTGCTCCCCAAACAGTTGTCCAAAACCAGAGGAGGAGAGAAAAGCAGCTGAATTTAAAGCAAGAGAAGCTTTTCTCTGCAGGAACAAAAGGAGGAGAGCACAGAGCTCTGCAGGCCACCTCGGGGTCCTTGGGTACAAATCAAACCTGGCCCCATGGCAAATTCCATGGGCTCTGTACACAGACCTCAAAGCACTCAGAAAAAAACAGAATTTCAGCTTAAAATGTGCTTATTTCCTTGGGTATTTGTAATTCCTTTCCCTGGCCAGACAGAGGATCTTGTCTTGATGGTATCCCATGAAAACACAACACAGACACTCACTAATTTCTGATGTATATTAATATTTACTACAATGTAAAGATGCAGCAAATGCAAACAGTTTGTTCTCACCATTAGATATTGCTGACAAATCCTCAGGATTTGTGTTCAATTTCTGATGACTAATCTGAAATGCCTGTTTTAACAAGGAAATTTTAAATGTCACTGCTGCACATTTTTCTGGTGAAATCTCCCCTTTAAATTTGGACTGGCCAAAAATACAGACTTTAAGACTAAGTTGATTTCTGCTGGTTCTCCTGAATGGGCAGCAGATTAAAATATTCCATTTTTTTCTTTAAGTTTTCCTAAGGAGAGTTTTCTTCTGAAATATTGGTTTCAATAGAATAACTCCTTGATAGTGATAAAGAAATTTCACCAGATGAAAATTATATTGTGACAACTAATTCCTCAGAAGAATTCCCATGGAAAGCTCAGGTAGAATCTGTGTTCCTGCAAAAATACTTTCATTTTTCTGAGGAAACATTTCTTCACAGAAAACACACTCTAGGAAAATTTTAAAGTGATTTTCAGAAGCTTTCAAATTTGCCATCTAGAAACAAGAATGCAAAAATCTCTAGACAGTTTGGGTTTTTTTTTTACTTTTAGGTATTGATGCACACAGACAAGCCATGGCATATACCAAATTTCCTTCCCTTATTGATCCTGTCACTGTGATAAATGCTGCTACACAGCAAAAAGGCCAATCCAGACAAGTCTGAAGTGTGAATTGAAAATAAACTAAATAAAATCTCTCATGAGAACCAAACTGTTAAATCTGCTGCTCCACTTAATAAAATTCTGATTAAAAACAACGTTGATGCAGTAGAATTTCTGTCTTCAGTCATAATTTTTCTGATGAGTACAGGGACAATTTAACCCATTTCCCAGGAATTTCACTGTCTGGCACAGGAACACAAGGAGTCATTTGGGTTCTTTCAGCTTTTAGAGAAGAACATGTCCATAAAAACAGCCCAGGAGGTCAGAGAGAGATGGGATTTAGGAGATTATCAGTGTGTTGGTGGTTATGCTGTAGTATTGTAGTATTGCAAGCAGTAGTACTTTGAATAAACAGCAAGGATTCCATGCATCTCTTTGGTTATTCCTACAGAATTCCACACTGCAGCACATCCAAATAAAACCCCTCAGGCTCCCAAAATCACTTTGGCCCCTACGGGCACAGGGAGAGTTTTTCACTTTTGGCTGGTCCTGACATCCTCTGCTCTTCCAGCTCCAAGCCAAACTCATGCCCACACACTCCACTCCTGCTGCAGGCAGAGAGCTCCTGGCGTGGCTTCTTCATCCCCCTGAAGGTTTCCTCCCACAGCAACCCCACCAAGCCCCAGCACATCCATCCTGCACCCCACGCTGGCTGCAATGTGCTGGCGACAGGGAATTTTCTCTGATTCTCTCATTACATCAATGATAAAAGCAGGTAAACTGAGAAATTGAGCAAATCTTTGTTGTTTTCACCAGTTCCTAGGGGTGAAAGGTTAAAAATAATCATTCCTGTTCCATCACAACACAGCCTCCTCCCCTCAAAAAAAACCCACTTTGATGATCAGGTAACATTTCTTGACCCTGATGTCCAGAAACATAACACCAACCATCCAGTCCCAAAATACCTGCTCAAATTCCAAGCACAGCAAACACACAATTGCACAAAGATGGAAAGATCAGGGAATTAAAAAAAAATAATAATTAAGCAAATTTAAGATCATGACACTGTCAGCTGCATCACTGGTGGTGACCAGGTAGGGTACCAGCTCTTCTGTGTGCAACAATAGTGGAGAGCTCTCTGCAGACCTTCAAAATAATTAACATGATCTTCTAGCCACAAAAAAATTGCATTGTTCTCCTCAAAAAAAAAAAATAAAAATCCTAAGAACTTATAACCTTGATGGGTCACATTTCTCAGCAAGTGCCACACTCTTTTGCCGACGGGGAGAATCATAATCAGTGCTAATATTTTGTTCCCAAAACACAGCTTCAATTGTCATCACAGTTTGAGTCACCAGCACAGAGTAGCAGCCTGTAGGTGGCAATTTTAATTTCCTGCTGGTGCAAACACATGGCCCTGTTCCAAGCCCACAACTTGTCTACCAACATGTGAAAGTGGCATAAACTTAACATTTCAATTAAATAAATTGTTCAGATTCTCTGCTTTCAAGAGCAACATGATAACCCTGAGTGAAGTCCTTGGTTTTGAAAGGTAAAATCCCAAAGGGTGATGTTACAAATTGTGTTTTCTTACTCACATTTTACAATATACGACAGATAAAACATCTGGCCCAAGATCTACCTTCAGTTTTGGCAGAATCCTCATGGGCTGCAACTACAAATGGGTTTGCATGAAGATTTCTGTACCCCCCAGAAGCTGGAAGTTTGTAGCCAGCCTCCCAGGAAAGCTCTCTGCTCTGCTAGAGCAGGTGTTTCCCTAGGGATTCTGCTTCCTCACTTTTACATTTCAGGATGGAAACAAGATGTGTACACAAAAGGCTCTCAGGTCCTGGTTTTGTGCATCACACAACACCTGGCAGTCCTTCATTGTGGTGATAAAAACTGCACATTGAGGCAGGAATGGCAAGGTGAAGACAGGTTTTAGTCTGGCCTTTGGTGACATGGCCCTGGAGAAAAATCCTCTTTTCTCCAAGTACTGTTTTCTGCAAAATAAAGAATGTCACTGCAGAAGAAGGAGAAGAATACTCATGCTCATGTATCACGAGGCAGCACATTGAGATGAGGCACTTCTCCCACTGCCATGGACTCCTCTGAACCTACAGCTGCTTGCAAACATCACTCCAGCAACCCACAAAGCATAAAAAAAGCACCAGTTAATGTTCTTTCTAATGATCTGTACTAATCTGGAAAGAGCTGGAAGGCTGAGCCTTTTAATCAGAATATACTCTGGAGAGCCAGGAGCAAAGGAGGTGGGATAGGATTACTCCATCAAACACCAAGGAAATGAAGATGTTCTTCCCCTTTTCTGCTGTCCCCTGGAGGTCTCTCCTTAAGAGTTTGAGCAGTTAAAGAGGTAAATATTTTGTCCTCAAAGGAGGTTGATGTGATATTTAATCAGTAAAAGACTTTACTGTAGATTGATTCTACTGATTGATTTTCAAAAATCCATTTCACTGAAGACCTGTCTGCAGACTAATGAGAACCACTTTCTTCCTCAGCCAAGAGACCTGAGGAGCACATGGGCAGTGCTTTTTTACCTATATTGACCACTGCAGTTATTCCACAATCATCTGCACTGGGCTGGTTTATTCACCTGTTCTGCTGTTTGGAAAATGCAGTGGACACAGCATTTGGCAAATGGCACTTCAGGTGCTGCCACCACATCAGCTCCAGAACCAATTCCTGCCACCACATCAGCTCCAGAACCAATTCCTGCCACCACATCAGCTCCAGAACCATTTTCCATCTTCTGGAAGGTCCCACCAGCTCTGCCAGCAGGGTCATGCTGGGGCTGGACACAGATCAGAGCAGAGCTGCACTGCTGGAGGGACACCCTGGGAGCTGCTCCCCAAGCCCTGTGTCACATAAATACCTAATTTCTGTTCAGCAGTGGCTGTGAGGGAAGAAAACAGGAGAAAAAGAAGCAGAGAGCCCTTTGTATTCACAGCAGTGTCATGAGGAGACAGACCTGTGAGAGACCACGAGGCTCCTGGAATCTGAGAAGGGATTTTGTGCTCCAGGAGTGGTGACAACTGTGGCAGGGAGGAGCAGGAAAACACAGAGTGACTGAGGCAGCAAACCACATCCCAGAGAGGAAGCGTCTCCTTCACACTCCAGCCATTATTTCTTTTGCTTTCCAATCCTTCTCTGCCAACAATATTTTGGCTTTTACTGGGTTGTCTGGCTCGTGGCTGCAGAGCCCCTAAGGCCTTGTTGGAGAGACCTATGGGTGCTGACAGCCTGATTTAATACCTGGAGGTGACTGCCAAGGGCTCTTCCAGGACAGGGAGGTTAAAGACTGATAGCCCTGTGCTAAAATAACTCCTCCTATCAGCTCAGATTTGGTTTGCAGCATGGACTCCAAGAGAGGTGAGACTCTGCATCCCTGAACAACACATCTCCCTCTCTTGTCTTCTACACAAAACAAACAAAAATAATTCCAAATATTATTATTGGTATTATTATTATTTTCCAGAACAAAATATTTTCTCAGAGCATTTTGAGTGTCAAAGAACATCACAGCCTGACAGGTTTTGTTCCAGAGCTTTTCCTTTGGGCTTTTCATGCTGTCTGCTCTGGAAAGCTCATGATGGAGCAACTGGCTCCCAAGACCTGAGGTCTAAAATTCTCCAATTCAGAGCACCTCAGAGCTGCATCATCTAAGAGGAAGCAACTACAAAATACAGCTTTGCTGTTTAGGAGCAGCTTCTCATGAAACCTTAGCAAGGTTTTACCTAACTTCAACTGTTCTTTTACTGAATTAATAAAAAAAAATTTAAAAATTGAAAATGTCCATATTTTGAAGCTTAAACACTAACATTTCTAGGATTCAAGAGGTTGCAGCAAGGCTCTAGTGCATGAAAATTTCACACCTCAGCTAAAATAATCTTATAATTAATTAACTTCAGTTAAAATTAAGAACTTCAGTGGTTATCTCGGGTTGCTTTGCTCCATAAAATCATGATTGTACCACAGAAATATTTATATACTGAAACTACTGGACAGTGGTTGATTTTTTTAATGCCCAGACATTTCTCCATCAGAAATATGTGGTTTTAGTAAAATAAATATTTTTATATGTAAAGTACAAAGTGAAAGGATACTAAAACGATATTTTTAATAAATTAACCTTCATAGAAAACTGAATGGACTTCTGTTTTTAGTCTGAGAACATAAGCACTCCCTCAGGGAAGGGGAAATAAACTCAAAAGCTGAAAGGAAACAAAATGCAAAGAAGGAATATGGAAAACCCAAGACTGGCATTGCCAAAGTGGCACTGGAAATTCAGAGCAGGAATGTTTCTGTTTAGGAACTGCTCTGGGAATGCAGAAGGGGGAAGCAGCTGGTCCAAGTTTCCACAGAGTGCCAGAGGAGCAATCCCTGGGAAGGCTCCCCTCCACTGGCAGAGCAGCCTGGAGGAAACAGGACAGCAAAAGTCTGAGCCAAAAGGGGTTTGTGTTAGTCCAGGACAGCTCCACATCAAAACTTGTAAGCACAGACTGTCCCCACGGCATCACACACATCCCCAGCTGTACACACCCCTCACCTGTGCAAGCTGGGGGAGTCATTTCAAGGTGGCTTCAAAGCCCAAAATGAAAAGTCAGGGCACTGAGTGCACTGGCACCACCTCCGGTCCACATGGACTCCTTAATGCTCAGAGACAGCAACACAGACAATATTCAGGCCTGGGCTGCAATTTCTCCTTCCCTGTTCTCTGAGGGTTCATTTATGCTGGATATCATCACTTCCCCTGCTAAATGAGCAGCTGAGGCTGTGGCTCTGCGTTGCTGAGGTTGTTGAAAGGATCAGTCTGTGTCCAGCTATGAGGGACCTTGAAAAGCAGCAGAACACAAAACATCTCCACCAGCTGCTGCTGTTCATCAGCTCTCCTGGGCTCCAGGAGGTGCTGGCTCAGAGAGGGTGGTACAAAAAACAACATTTTCCTTTCACCTCCAACCCCTTTGCGGCATCTGCAGCCCAAGCTCAGCCCTCCCTCGCTCCTAGAACAAGACTGTAAGAAGGACAAGACAGATGTGTTCTTAAATACACCCTGAATAATATCAAAATTCAACCTTGTGAGGCCAAAATTACCCCCAGTGAGAGAAAATCAGCCATATTTCCTTCATTTTCCAGCCAGGCAATCAGGCACAATTCTTGTTTGTGCACAGCAAATCGTTAGATGCAGTTGAAGACCATCATTGAGCTGTGATCACTCTTTCCAAGGCACAACCAATTTCTACATGGTGATGATTCTGCCTTTCACTCATCCCACCTGGCAGTGCTGAGAGCAGCTGTAACTCTTGATACCTCTCCCAGAAATGACTACACTCACAGAAGTGCATGCTGAAGGGAAAGGATATCGTATTTTTCCTCTTTTTCTCAGGCTTGCTTCCTGGCTTATCCCTTCCAGGACCAAGGCTCAACAAATCCAAGAATTTCTGGCAATGCAAGAGCTCATTTTCTAACCCTGTTCTCAAGTTCATTACAGGCTCTGTCCTCCTGGTCTTCTCAACTTCAAAGAATTTGAATGGAGGTATTTGAATGCACAGCTTTCGGAAGGGAGTGGAGAGGAAGAAAACAAAGACCTATCTGCTCTACCAATTCATTTCATTCAGAAATTCTTTGCAGCAGATAATGGATTTTGAGTATCAGTAACATTGCATAATCCAGCCTCCCACCATCAGGCTGCTTAGCACAAATTTGGCTATAATTTTATCCCCTTGCCAAAGTGTTCCTGCAGCAGGCCCCTCAGTTGGCAGGGAGGCTGCTGCTCTCCTGGCTGTAGAACACATTTCTGGGGAACACTTTGTTCCACTCTGTCAAATTTATTCTGGGCAAGCTCTTCCTCCCCACTCCAGAAAAAGCCATCGACCCCAGAGTGATGCCTTGGGAGGCTCCTGGAGCAGAGGCTGGGCAGGGTTAAAGGAATAAAGCAGGGATTTATTAAAAGCCCTTCCAAGGATGCACCTTGGGCACTGCAAGAGCCCGGCCGTGGCTGCGGCCAGGATGGGCCCTGGCTCAGGAGTTTCACCCTTGGATCAGTTCTGGTCCATTTCCATATTGGGGTTAATTAACAAGGCCAGCCCCAGCCTTGTTCCTGGCCCATCCCTCAGCCAGATCCAGAGCCCCACCGTGCACACCACCTTTTGTTGGGAGCCTTGAGCGAGCCTCAGAGTCCTGCTGGTGGAACCAGCTCTCCTGAAATAGCTCATCACGAGCAGCATGAGCCATGCTCAGCACAGGACTCGTCACATGGAGTGACAGGAGCCACATTTGGAGGCTGATCTCCAGCTCAAACTTGGGTTTATTTACAGCTGAGTCTTTCTTCTGCCACACTTCCCTCAATATAAACAGCACAAGAAAAATCCCTACGAGTGAGGCTGCTGGACAGAATGAATGCAGAGTTTTCTCTCATTTTCTCTTTCCCCTCAGCCCTTCAGGCCTGGAGGGTCTCGTGACAAGCCACTCTTCTCCTTATCACAGAATCAAAGAATGGTTTGGATTAGAAGGGACCTTAAAGCCCATCTTGTTTCACCCCTGCCATGGGCAGGGACACTTTCCACTGTCCCAGGCTGCTCCAAGCCCTGTCCAGCCTGGCCTTGGGCACTTCCAGGGATCCAGGGGCAGCCACAGCTTCTCTGGGAATCTGTTTCAAGGGAGAATTTCTTCCTAATATCTGATATTAGGAGTAGGTTTGCTTCTTGTCCAAGTTGTCATCATCCTCAATGAGACACAGTGACTTAAAAAGCAGTGGAAGGCGTTTTGAGCCCAAACTTCTTCAAAAGGCAGAATCAAGATTGCTTTGGGGTTTTTTTTTTAATTTTTAAGAAGTACCCATTAATTCCATTGATGCTCATTATTCCTTAAAACCAGGAGGTAAATCCTTAAAAGCCTCAGTGCCAGTAGCAGGCTGCAGGCCTTTGAAATACCCAGCACAAAAGCAAAGTCAAGTACCCAAGCTCCCAGACCCAGAGCTCTCCTACGAGACCAAAACCTGCATTGAAATGAAATGAACAGATGTGCACTGCCACAGAAAAATGGAATAGCACAAGCTGTAACATTATCACTGCTTATATGTAACTTTGGCTTAAAATCATTAACCTTTTTATAGCTTGCTTTGTGGCTGAGCACTTTCTATTCCACATAATGTTCTTCTGAATAGAAAAGCACTCTGGAGTGAATTTAGCCTAATGAGAGAAGCCTGTGATGACACTTAACATCATCCATTTATCTTTTGAAAAGAAGCAGCATAATTACATTCCCCATACTCAGAAATTTGCTTCAGCATTGTTTTCTGTTGTGAACTCTATCCCAGGCCAGCTCCATCAGCCTTGACTTTGGTATTTTAGACTGGGTTTTGCTGCTCTTTGGGACTGGTTTGACATTCACTGCAGTCCTGGGACAGGAATTAGTTCACAAACCAGCAAGGGATTCAAAGGCTCCACATCAATTTTCCCAATAAATCCACCAGAGGCTGCCCTGAAGTGCCCAGCAGGGATTGATTTGTGTCAGGAGCTGGCACGTGCCAGGTTTGTCCTTGCCTCACCCACTGCTGCTGTCAGGGACACACCTGCCTGCTCCACACCTGTAAATATCTATTTCTGCCATCACCACCAGCCCTTTTCTGAGCCTGGCAGGGTGCAAACAGCCAGACAAAGCTCTCTGAAACAAAAACCTACCCAGGATGCAGAATTATGTTTGGCACCTACTGCAATCAATGATTTTAACACCCCCATCATTTTTATACTTGTATTATTTAGGTGAAGAGCACACCTGTTTCTGCTCCTCATTCCAGCACCCAGACTGGGTTTTGTCCAGAGCTATCTAAATTGTGCTTTTTGTAAAATGGCATTTTTTTCTTGTCAATATGCAGGGAAAAAAATCTTGCTATTAGGAATAGCAAATTTGTATTTCTCTGCTGAGAAACTACACGATCAAGAGAGTAAATGACGTCAAACTGAATATCTACCCTTCCTATACCTAGTTATTAAGAAAAAAGGGGAAAAAAAAAAAAAGTGTGATGCAGAAACTTTAAAGGAAGCACAGAGCCATTCTGCCAAACAAATATCTTGACTTGGAAATTAGAATAATTACTAGTGCTCTCTTACCTTGCTGATGAACTCTCAAGTGAGCTTCAGACCCAAATTGTCCTGTAAGTGCAGCACAGTTTGAGCTCACAGAAGTGCCTCAGGAAAACACTTTGAGAGAAATGCTTGAACTTAGTTTTATTACATAGCACTGAAGATAATTTGGGTTGCTTGGTTTCTAAATGAAACCAAATGAGCTGATATAATCAATTTAAGGTGTCACCAGCTCCAGAAGTTAAAGGTAAAGGCCCTGAAAATCAGTGAGCTAAAAGTGAGGAGGAACAAACTAAGAAGAAGAGCAGGAAGGAAAATTCAAACTGTCTTGATGCTGGAACTCTTAACTGATGCAAAAAGTAACCAAAAGTTACAGATACTTCTAAAAGGTAGTAAATAAAATTTAAAAAATGTATTCTCCACAAATCCAGCTCAGTTCTGGGCTGTATGGTGTTGGGAGACATTTCTAGTGGCAGCAAATACATCAGAGCTTAGAAACTACTTGAACTACATGAAAGAATTACTGAAGAAATATTCATTCAATTAACAGAGGGTGCAGGCAAACCCTTAATTCTGTCACTGCTAAACTTTTGCCCTGGGAGCCCATGGAATTTGTGTAAAACAGATTTTCTGTTTTAAAGAAACCTCCAGATCTACTGGAGGTGAACATGCCTCGGGAGCCACAAAACTTTATTTGGGAATTGTTGGGGTAGGCAAAAAATACCCAGACTTTGGTACCCCACTCCTAATTGCATAGCATCCCACTTCTTAATTATCTTTTCATTCCTCCTGCTCCTTCTCCATGTGCCCTGGTCCCCTCAGCTGGCTCTGCCCTCCCTTGGGGACACCAGAGGAGCACCCAGAGCCAGCACTGCCGATGCTCCTGGACCCTGAGGTGGGGTCATTTGGGGAAATTCCCAGGTGGGAGCCTCAGCCCTGGCCTCAGTGCAGGAAAAGCCTCCCTGGAGGGTGTGACAGAGGTGCCTGATGTGGTGGAGCCCAGCAGGAGTGGGGAGGTGCAGAACAGGGATGCACCTCCCACATCACCAGGTCTCCTGCCCAGATCCTGCCCAGCCCAAGCGACTCCTTAATCACCCTGAGACTTTGTAATGAACATGTCTTCCAACACAAAAAAACGATCAAAAAATCAAAATCAAACTCCCAGCATGGCAAAAGTCTGGAACACACCCCTGCTAGCCAAAAGCCAGGTCTCATGGGAAGTGTTGAGTGTCCTCAGCCCTCAGCAAGCACAGCCTCTCCCAGCCAGGGTGCCCAGGGACTCCTTGGTTTCAGTGCCCTGCTTGGCTGCACCCTGCCAGCCTTTCCCTGGGCTCATTCCCAGGTTAAGCAGGCAGCAGACATCATGTTCAGCTGATTCAGCTTGGGCTTATCCCCCCCAGGTCTATAGCACAACTCTAAACTTGCAGCAGAAACTTATACCAGAGACTGAGTTCACAAAAGCCTGTTTGCCTCTGGCAGCAGAAACTCTGAATGGTTCTTAAATCAGAAGCATCTCAGCTTGATGGGGACATCGATTCTCTTCCACAGAGTTTCTCAAGCCTGCAGATAAAGAGATGGAAGATATCCTGCCAGAGCCAAACAGCCTCAAATTACACAACTTTTTTCATCAGCCTACCTGGATTGCCTGGCTGGATGAAGGATGAGGAAACCCCTCTACCTCACAGGGTAAAACTTATTAAATTTGGGCATTTTCTGATGGTCGGAAGACAACTCATTCCAGTGTGAACAGTTGGAAGCATTAATGTGAACTAATATCAAAGTAGTCAAATACATTACAGTGATTGCCACTCAGTCAGCAGTAGCTGTGCAATATGAATAAAAAGCACATTAAATCTGTTCCAAATAACTGGCACAATGTGTTTATATAGGACTAGGGCTGCATATTAAAACACACCTGATTAGTTCTTCATAAGCAATGAGTATTTACTACATCTGTGATAGCTGTATAGATTCAGATCTCATTTTTTAAAATGATTAATTGGTATTTAATTAGCATGTATTACCATACTAGTTATACACAGCCTAGTTGGGAATGCAAATATAATTCTAATAATTACATAACTAGTTATGCTTTCAAGAGCCTACTACATAATGCAGTGCAGACAGCTTCCATTGGAAGGGGAAATAGCACATAACACAGACGGAGTAACATTTTAAAAATGCCTAAATCCTCTTTTCAAAGTGGACTTCCATCTAAATCAAGAATTCTGAGGTTTTCTAGTGTTTCAATGCAGAATTTATGTGCTGCTGCCATTCTCCAGCCCTGCTACATGAAGCAGCTTGGACAGACCTTTGCATTGGCATCTTTCTAGGAGGGATGGAATTGCCTCTCTGAGCACTACCACAGGGATTGGAAGAGGTTTTTTCCCTTCACCATGAAATGCCTCTGTCTCACTTCTTGCTTCCTTTAAAGGCAGAATTGATGTGTGAGGTTCTGGAGATGTGTTTGGATCTCAGCTGAGCAGCAGAGCTGTGACACCTCAAGGACTGAGCAGAGGTGACACCTTCAGCTCAAGTCCCACCACAACAGCCAGACAGGAGCAAACATCTCTGGGAGACAAATACTCCTGCAGTGGTGAGTTCATTCAAAGTGTCAGTGCAGAGAACAACCCCAGAGCCACTGCCAACGTGAAGGTTTGGAGAATCAAGTGGTAATAATCAGTGTCTGCATTCAATGTTTTACCAGTATCTAAGAAAAGTCCTGGAAGCCCACCCTGAATCCCAGCAGGTCTGTCAGATACTCTCCCACCTTTTTCCAACTCCGCGCTCCAAATGGGGAGATGTTTCTGAGTTTAGGAAGGTTTCTGAGGTTAGGAAGGGGTGGGGAGAAAACAGGTCTTTGGAAAGTGAAAACCAACATACTTTCTGCTATTTCTCTCACTTGGGAAAGATGCTTCAGCCCACAGCTCACCAGCCTGAACCCTGGAAGAGAAAAGCTGATTATACCCCGTAGTAGAGAACCTCTCTTTACCTATCTGCCATCCAGGCTGTTTGGGGTACAATGTAGGGCCCTTTCTCAGCAGTGAAATCTCCCCTGGGGCTGACAGGTACAGCTGCTGCTTGGCAGGTGTGTCCCCACACATCCACCCTCCCTGCTCTGGGGAAGGCACAGGAATCCCATCCCCTTTCCTGCACTTCAGCAGAAAAATCCACCCCCTAATGGGTGGCAGTGATGAAAACCTGTGAGAGCCAATTCCTTACTCCAACACCACCTCCCATCTTTTCTTTCCAAGGTGCCACACCTCAAACAGACAGGCTCCTGGCCCTATTTTCAAAAACTTAGAGACATTTCTATTTCTAACTGTAGCTCCAAGTACAGGACCTCTCCTGCAATATTTGACAGGACTAAGCAGTAGTCCTGCTTCCAAGCCCAGGTGTATCTCTTGAAAAGATGAATGTACTCACTGTGTCTCTGCCCAGAATCTGCAAACACAGACTTCTGTACCCCAGGCCAAAGAGGCACAGCCTGCTCTCAGCTCACTGGGGATGTGTTTGCAGCTCACTGACAGGAGGAGGGTACAGGAGCCTCAGCTCTGCCCAGAGCATCCTGCAGCTGCACTTAATGGGGCAAAAAGGCTGAATTTGGCAGCCTGACAAAACCCCCCGAGATTTTTGTGGCATTTTCCTGTGTTCACACTGAGTTTCCTCTCTCCAAGCCCTGCATCGCCTCCCTCCGCTCCCCACCAACAGGGACAAAAAGCCTGCAGCGATTCAGCTGCACTGACCAGGCTCCCCTCCCTGGACTCTGCCTGTCACAGTGATGTTTATCTTTCATTTCTCCCCTTGAGTCCAGTGCAGGAAAATCCTGCTGAAGATAAATCTCCTCTTTTAATAACGCTGAGCTTTGATGGAAGCACTTTCTTGTTGAAGATTTGCTGATGGCTCACAGCGAATAATAATAAAGCCTTTGCTTTATAAACCAGCTTGTATCATCTGGCCTCTCTTTTTGTCACGCCTTGTTCTTGATCTTGCAGAGGTGACTGAAGTGGCTGATGTCAGTTACTGCTCCAAAGAACCATTTGATTGTGTCTGTGCAGTGCAGCCGCACATCCCCATGTCACCACGGCCAGGGTGACACTGGCAGTCATCCCTGGCTCAGCGCTGACCAGCACAGCCAGCAGCAAATTTGCTGAAGGGTGGATGAGAGAAGCTGGCACAGCTCTTTACAGAACCCACCCTGGCACCATACCCCTCACCCAAATGGGAAAAGGGGGATTCACATCTTTTGGCACAGCTTTGTTCAGTGTTCACTCTGCAAATCCCAACTCACCCTGAGAGTTTTGTTCCTTACCAAACCCCACCCTGGGGAAGGGTGCATCAACCAAGCATCTCTCCTGGACCTGTCTCAACAACAGCAGTTCCCAGGACCACCAACCCCCTCTCCCCAATCCCAGGTGTATTTTAGATTTAAACACAACATTGACATGGCTTTGGGAGGAAGTACTTGTGACTTAGTGCAGACAGTTAAAGCAGAGGCACACATTCCCATCAGGAAATAGCAGGGAATAGTGTGATGGCTGGGAGGCTCTGTGCAGCCAGGAACATTCCCACTGCAATGTGAGCTGATCATATGGCACAGCAGATTTTGGTGTTCTCTTTGTCGTATGTCACGTACTTCAGAGCTTTTGTGCCGACTGCCAGGAGACGAGAAAAACATACAATTAGTGGGGAAGGATCAAATATTCCATTTTCTAGGCAAACTGTAGGGGCCTAGGCTGTCTTCAGTAATAAAAGTATTAGTGATTTTACATATATATGCTGATCTAGTCCCCTTTTTTAGCAAAGAATTGCAAATGTACCTGGTTCTCTGCAGCCTGCAGGGAAGAAGCTGCTCTCCTAATGCTTAGTTCTTAAGGCTTCAGGTTTATGAACACTGATTTTCTGATTGTCTACAAGTAGCCATGAACTTAAAAAATTAACCCTGAACCGCCCCTCAATAAACAAACAAATCCCTGTGTTTCCTTTATCGCTGTTCCTCTCCAGTGCCTTGTTTGTCTTCATCCTCCACGGTGAGGATGTGGCACAGGGACCTGCAGGAGGGGGTCCTTGGGGACAGCTGGTGACACAGAGCTGTGGCACCGTGTGGCTTCTCCAGACAAAGGAA